AATCCTGGTCTGGCCCTCCACAATAGCCAGAAAGTTGTTGTAGTTGTGGAGCTTCACCTGGTTGTTTCCCTCGTTGACCACGGTCCACAGAGCTGAGGAGGGAGGAGGAGGAGGTTTGGAGAGAACTTAGGGGGGAAAAAATGTGTCAAAACTAATGCTGGGCCTTACTTTCTAATGATGCGATTTCTTCCGGTGGTTACCTGGTCGGCTCCGAACAACATCTTCAGGATTTAAGATAACCTAGATTTCGGAACACTCTGAAGCATCAACTTTTATTGTTCAATGATAAATTCTTTTAAAAAAGAAGATCTTAATGATTAAAGTAACTGGTAACCGTTGGGTTTCGTGAAAGGGAACGTTTCTTCCTTTGCACTAGTCGTGGGAATCGATTCCGGAATTGATTCTTCGCCCAGCTCTAGTCAAAACACAGTGGAACCAGGAGCTCATCAATTTTGGGACTTAAAAGTTTTTTTCATTTCTCTTGCTCTCCATGATTACAATACTCATCAATCTTGGGTAAAAGTCAAGATATTTGCGATTGAATGAGGTGGGTGTCACCTGGTTTCAGAAGTAAAATTTGTGAGAAAAAGGCTGCCAAAGTTTGGTGAATACCATAACTTGAAAGTACTTTGAAACTGAAAAGAAGCTGTACATTTTTTGTGTCTTAAATCAACATTTTTCAGTAAAATCCACACAGAAATGAGATTTTCAGGGACATAAAGGGTACTAAGCCAACAAACAAGAATCCCACACAGGCGGGAAAATGCCTGTTTCTTCCAATTCATTATTTTGACGAGCGCCTGATTTTACCACACTGCCTCATAATTGCACTTACCTATGTCAAACTTATGACTTGAACTGGGATGAAAAAGTCTCAGTAATTGATTTATTGGAACATGAAACAAAACCCTGCTATACTAATACAGTTTAAGTAAGAATTTTACTGCACTTACAACACAATAAGGTAATATAAGTGCTGAAGATTAGAGGTGTTACATGGGTGTAATAAGCACAAAAAGAGAAAAAAGGCTTATTTACATTAATTGCTTCCATACTATGTTTCTTGGGACACACATAGGTCATATAGGTGCCACTGAGGAATTAGAGGTGTGACTAGAGAGTAAACGTACAAAGAGAAGAAAGAGGAAAGATGAGGATGATTCATGTTTGACAGAAAAGAAGGAGCAAACCACTTCTGAGTACTCGCAAACTGCCTAAAAACAAATGAAAGGGGAGAGATAAGGAAAACGGAAATAGATGTTTGATATGAAAGAAAGAGGCAAACCACATCAGAACATCTGCAAACCACCAAAAAAGAATAGCAGGAAGAGGAGCGATAAAGGACAATAGATGTTTGATGGGAAAGAAGGAGCATGAACCATACCACAGCACCCGCCAACCACCCACGGTACAAGGACACTCACAGTTGAAGGCCCCTGGGTCCAGCGGTCCGTTGGCATCTGGGATCATCTGTCCGGTGGCATTCATGACGATCTGCACCGTGCGGCCGGTCGTGCGAGACACTAGCTGGATCACGTTGCCGTTCTTAAACAGATCCTGGGGGTTTCATTAACATTTTTTTTTTTTTAAATGTCAATGGTTCTTTTGCATCCCCAACAGCACAATCTAGATCATGAAGAAGGAGAAGGAGAGGAGAAGGAGAAGGAGAAGGAGAAGGAGAAGGAGAAGAAGAAGA